TGTCATATTTGACTATGATGTGACCAGCTGTATTCAGGAACTTTGCTGGAAGAAGAAAACACCAAAAACTTGATCCAAGACAAAGCCTGAAACCATGTGGAGAAGCACAAAATGAAGCTGAATCGAATCCTGATTTTTCTTTTATAAAAAATTATTTATTTATTTAATTTATTATGGCTGTGCCAGGTCTTAATTGTGGCACACGGACTCTTAGTTGCAGCACGCATGCGGGATCTAGTCCCCTGACCAGGGATCGAAGCCGGGCCCCCTACATTGGGAGCACAGAGTCTTACCCACTGGACCACCAGGGAAGTCCCTCTGTCTTTTTTTTTAATGCTAGTCAAGAAAAGATCTAAAAATTTCCATTATAAAAAAATGGTTTCATCCAAACCAAATTTTATTCAAATACTAAAATGAAAATCACTGAGCTGTTATAACTAGCCTAGTGACAGTACTGGAATCTGAGCATCAGTGGTTTGCTTGTGCTGTGGACAGAGCGGGGAGGAGGAAAGGAAGGTGGCACAGAGAGAAGGGCAGGCTGCCTCTCTAGCCTCTCTCTCCCATGCATGGGAGAGTCGCTCGTCAGGTGACCACTGGCCAAGCTCTGGCAGCGACCCAGCAGTGGACCAATGGCTCTGCTGCCTGCATCCCAGTTGAGGGGAGAGGACTGGGACACAGAAAAATGGATGTCAGAAAAAAGTTTCCAAGGAAATTTGTATGTTAGAGCAGAGGATGGCGAGTGAAGAGGCAAAGGAAAGATACATTCCTTCCACTCCCAACCAACTCCCTGCCTCATTTCTTTTCACTCTTCTGCTCCAGATAGCTCACTACCTTTCCTATCATCTCCAATATGGTACCTCGAGTCACTAAAGTGGATTTATAACCATACTGCCCATTCTCTCTCTCTTTGAAAAAAATTTTTTATTTAAAAATTTTCATTTTTCTCTTAACTATATGTCCATTCTCTCTCTTGAATCCCTCATAAAATATCTAGTAAACTGGTTTGAGCCGGTACTAAAGTAAAACCAAAATGTGTCACCCCACAAAAAGCCCTAAACATTTTATTAGGCAATTGAACTAAACACATAAAATATTTTTAAGCCAAACAAATCTGGTATTTCATGTGGTTCAATCCCCCATCCCAACGTGGGAAATCCACAAATATTCATTTTCAAATCAAATGTAGATAAGCCGTATACTGTCATATTATTATAGGCAGTATTCATACCCAATGACAGCCTGTTCATTTATACAGTCCAGCTTTTCACTTGAAACGTAAAGGTTGCTGTTCACAAGAAATGAATGTGAACTAAATATGCATATGACTGTATGACCCAGATTTCACGTCCAAAGACAATTTCATAAGGTTACATCCTTGGGATAAAATTAAGAGGAGAAAAGAGTCAGTCAGTTTCATTCTTTTGCAACTTACTGCAACGTGTTTCTAAGTGTTAAACCTCATACCATCTCTCCTTTAAAAAGCTTTTAAAATGCTTAGATGGAAACAAATGAGATGTTATATAAAGGCAGAAATTTCTGCAGAAAAAGGCACACACACGTGAAGCAGTATTTCAGTTCTTTATGAGCTAAAGGAAGCTGATGTTAGTTTTAATATTAGCTGGAGGGCAATCTCTTAGCTGGAAATTTTAAAAAAAGAAATAGGAAATAATGCAAATGGGGGAAAAATGCCAGAGGGGGACTGCTAGGATTGGAACATAAACATTTAGGAAAAAGAGTAAGGAACAATTTTATTGAACAAGAAAAAAAATCAGTTAAATACGTGAAGGTATTTTGTGTATGTTTTTCCACAACACACTGCTAAAACAATATCACACAGAGTAAACTAAAGAAATTAAAATGAAACTGAAAGGAAAAGATATTTTCCAAGAAATCTGACTGACTACTCATTAAGTATGCTGAGGATAAATCATTTAGGTCACCAATATTTGGTTTTGTTCTTATCCTAATAGCATTGTCCTAGCTGCCTTCAATGTCTTCTAGAACAAAGAAGGGTATAAATAAATAAATTCATAAATAAATAAAAAGATAGCACTTCCTGCTAAATGCAATTGCTGAAGGCAAGAGAAAAGTCACAGACTAAATTATGAATGAGCAAATCGTGCCAGATAAATTTTGGATGTTTTAACTTTACTTTTAGTGGTTTGGAGTCTCTCTAAGATGCACTGCAAGCTCTTGGCTGTAGCACAGAAGTACTTGGGATGCTTGTTAGAATGCACACTTTAGGCTTCACACATCCAGAGACACTGATTTAGAAGGTGAATGAACCCAAGAACCTGCATTCTTAAGCAGCTTCTCAGAAGATTATAAATGCACATGGTCCGCAGTTCACACTCTGATGAAACCACTGCCGAAAATAAAAGACATGTCTCTCTACTGTGGACACTGACATGTTTTTGAGCCAAAAAAACCCACAGAAAAACAAAAAAAAATCCAAAAAACAAAAAACCAAGACAAACAAAAGAACGTATTTCAATAAAGAAAGGAACCTTTAAATATAATTTAAATAAATATATATTTAAATATTCTTCTGACCCATCAACCTTGTAACCTTAGGTAACTAGTGAGTTATCCTAACGGAAATTATCTATTCTCATGATCAAAATGGTTTCTACAGGTTTCATCAAGCCACGCTGGATAGCAACATAGCTACATACGACTATAAAATGCACACCAATGCCTTCTTTAAGGAAACTGTACAAGAACTCTTCACAGATGCTACCAAAATTTTTGTTGGATTTGGCTTATGTGAAATTTGAAAGATATGCAAAGAAATTTTACATATTTATATAAATAATAGGTACACACACATACACACACATATATACGCACACATACACTCCAGCATTTATTACTGCTGTATCTAAAAATTCGAATTTGCTTCTCATTTCATTTGTCAGCAAAAACTCCCCAAGTACATTACATAGGAAGCTCCTCATGGGCTCCTTCAACACTTTAGACCCATGACTGGCGATTTTCTCTATGACTCTTTTTCTTATCTCCTTCCTTCCTGTGTCTCTTTTTCTTTGATAACCAACCCCATGACGCTTATCCACAGGTACATACAGCCACTTTATGGGAAAGATACACAGTTTTGTCTTTGCCCCACAGCAGTTTCCAACTGATTTTCATTCATCCCAATATGGCCATTTCTGACGGAAGAGTATGTGTCAGGCCGTATGGAGAAACAGACCCACAAGTACAATATAAAGTGGTACTTGCTATTAACAGAAAAGGGATGGCTAATAACAGAAAACACTCTGGGTTGCATTTCCCTCCAGCAAATTAAAAATAACATATTAGAGAGCTCCAGAACGCACAGCAAGAACGGCACCAGAAAACTTGACTGCGTGGAGATTTGCAGTTGAGGAGCGTGCAACAGGGGCTGTTTCTGTCAGTAACTTTTAGAAGTCATTTCGAGAGGCCAACAACACATATCTGGGGTGTCATCATATTCTAAGTCAGCTTTTCTCTAGCTCGTACTGCAGGGCAAAGAACTGGCCGGTTAGCATCCATTATTGACCTCACAAATCACAGTATTGATATTAGAGGGCTGGGCGCAGAAAGGGTGGGTGAGGCAATGCCTAGGTTCTGGCCACCCTCACCATCTTGCTCGTGAGAAAATGGTGATGGGAGAAGAGGTGTCAGCAGATGGGAAGTCTGTCCGCTAGTCGATTCTAATCCAGTCTAGATGTGGAGAACGGAGAGTGTATTCACTGGGGGGTTGGATTCGGGCACATCGGAGAGTGACTAGTGCGGGCGTTGCAAATTCTGACGGCACCGCATGAAATCCTTCTACACGCGACCCACTGAGAAAGCCAGCAGAACGCCCTTCTGCTGCCCCAACACCACTGCACCAGCTCTATCTGATGACTATTTTGCACCTATCGTGTCTCGTGGGATTTCACATGAATACATTTCAGTAATAGTTTCTAGTAACACCATATCCGGTCAGAGCCAGAGGCAGAGAGGAAATCTCTTACCTGTTAGTTCACAAGAAGAAAATACTTTCTGTTCCCGAAGGAAGACTATTTCTTTGATAAATACTCTAACCTAAGAATGAATTACTTTACTAGTGACATGTTCTTTAACAAGCTCCTACTTTATCATTAAAGTCAAATCTTTTTTTTTTTTTTAAAACAAGTTTAGCTCAATACGCATTTCCTGCAGACCTACTTTATAGCAGGCAGGCAGGGTGCCACCGCAGACACATGACAAAGGATGAAACACAGTCCTGTCCTCAAGGGCTCTGGGTACCTTCGGGGAAGTAAGAGCTGGACCTTCCAACGCAGTGCGGCATGCATTATTCTGCAAGGGTGGGCACAGCGCTCCATGAACACTGTGGAGCCTGGGAGACCTGGGGAACCCTTGGTGGGGGGGGGTGACAACCGAGCTGGATTTTAAAGTGTGAATTAGATTTTACTGCAAATGAAAAGAAGGGCAAAGGGAGACTGAAAAAAAGCTGTGGGACGCAAAAGGGAAGGAGTCTTTAGGGAACAAAGAGTATTTTGTGGGACTGAGGCACAGGGGAGAGAGATGTGGAGGATGATGACACCAAGGAGATGCATTGCAGCCAGAACAGAAAGGACCTTATCAGCCACATCAAGGAGTGGATTTTATCCTGTAGGAAGGACAATGTGCAGCCTGGAAGGTTTTTAAGGAGAGGTGTTGCAGGACCCAATCTGCATATTAGGAGGAGACATGTGGTGGCTGACAGGGGGTGACAGAGAAGAGGCTGGGAGACCAGTTACAGAGCTTAAGCGAGACCATTCATAACGTGTCGTGGAGGCTCGATGCTCTTAGGTGGCCATCATTTTCCCCATATGTTCTTCAGTTATATCTGGGCTTTCCCCCTTTAATTACATATCAATACGGATACATATATTTTTTCCTATCCAAAATACATCATCTGTGGTCCACAGAATCCCATTCCACACGATAGGGAGTAAACGTTTATGTAAATACTTAAAAGGGTCTCTTACCTGAACAAAGCTGTTCCACTTTCGTGTAGTTTAGAGACACTATGTCATTAACCCAGGCAATGATGTCATGTCGGCTCATAGTCTCCTGGGTTATCGAGGTAGAATACACGTTGACTGCCATTCCCCAGCTAGAAAAAACAAACAAAGTTTATTTACCTACAAGGAAAAAAGTAACTCAGAAAGATGACAGACATCCATTCAAGCTCTGGATCCCTGACAGAACTCTAAGGCTTGTAAAAGTCCTGCTCTGGCTAAGCCCTTTCTCTTCCCTTTGTCTCTGTTCTACGTGTTTGCTATAATATGGTTAAATCTCATATATTGTTCGTGCAGGATCATTTTTTGTCTCCCTCAACTTGACTCAAATGTTCTTCAGGTTCTGAGATTCCTAATCTCTCATGTAATTTAGTGAGTCACTTAGAAGGTAAGTTGGGGAATTCCCTGGTGGTCCAGTGGTTAGGACTCCACGCTCTGACTGCCAAGGGCCTGGGTTCTATCCCTGGATGGGGAACTAAGATCCCATGAGCCATGCGGCCCAGGCAAAAAAAAAAAAAAAAAAAAAAAAGAAAGTGAATATTTTTTATCAGCTTTAGAGAAAAGGAAATTCACTTTAGAAACAGGTTACAAATACACTCCATTAGAAAACAAATCCTTGGGACTTCCCTGGTGGCACAGTGGTTAAGAATCCACCTGCCAATGCGGGGGACATGGGTTCTAGCCCTGGTCCGGGAAGATCCCACATGCCGCGGAGCAGCTAAGCCTGTGCGCCACAACTACTGAGCCCACATGCCACAACTACAGAAGCCCGCGTGCCTAGAGCCCATGCTCCGCAACAAGAGAAGCCACCACAATGAGAAGCCCGCGCACCGCAATGAAGAGTAGCCCCCACTCGCCGCAACTAGAGAAAGCCTGCGTGCAGCAACGAAGACCAAACACAGCCAAAAATAAATAAATAAATTTATTAAAAAAAAAAGAAGAAAAGTCCTCACCTGATAATCTCTATCAGTCTCTAAAAGCTTTGGATAAAGCCTTGAAAAAAAATATATACAAAAAGTATTTGGATAATCTGGAAGTCCTGCCTGACTGCACAAGTCTTCCTTTCAGCTATGATTGTTAATATACTCCTTCTGACCATTTCATGACACTTACTATTTCCCCCAACTTTTCGCAGGAGGAGCACACATTGGCCATAGAAAAGGTAACAGAAAAGGTTTGTTTTGCTTAAAATGCTTTGATAGCTAGAGTTTGGTGTAATTGGTCTCCTTTTCTTAATTAATAAACTTTATTTTTTAGAGCAGCTTTAGGTTCACTGCAAAATTGAGTGGAATGTACAGAGTTTTCCCACATACCCCCCTGTCCTCCACTGGTCCCCTCCAATCTCCCCAACCGGCTGGTACGTGTTAAAATTGGTGAACCTACAATGATACATTATCACCCAGGTTCCATAGTTTACATTAGGTTCACTCTTGGTGTTATACATTGTGCAGGCTGTGACGAATGTACAGTGCCGTGTATCCACCACTGTAGTACCATACAGAACAGCTTCAGTGCCCTAAAAATCCTCTGTGCTCTGCTGATTCATCCCTCCCTCCCACCATTCCTGGAAAACACTGATTTCTTTTAATGTCTCCATAGTTTTACCTTTTCCAGAATGTCACATAGTTGGAACCACAGACTGGCTTCCTTCAGTAATGCACATTTAAAGTGCCTCCATGCCTTTTCATGGCTTAAGAGCTCACTTCTTTTTAGAGCTGAATAATACTGCACTGTCTCAATGTACCACTCACCTACTGAAAGACATCTTGGTTGCCATCAAGTTTTGGCAATTATGAATAAAGCTGCTACAAATATACATGTGCAGGTTTTTATAAGTGTTCATTCATTTGGGTAAATACCAAACAGCATGACTAATGGGTTGCAATGGTAAGAGTATGTTCAATTTTATAAGAAATTACCAAACTGTCTTGCAAAGTTGCTGCACCGTTTTGCATTCCCAACAGCAATGAATGAAAGTTACTATAGACTAGTTTGCATTTTCTAGAATTTTCTATAAATAGAATCACATAGTATATACATTTGTATGGCTTCTTTCATAAAACCGTGAGATCCATGCTGCACTGTATATCAGTAGTTCACACCTTTTCATTGCTGAGTAGTGTTCCATTGTATGTATATATTGAGTTTGTTTATTCATTTACCTGTTGATGGACATTTGGGTTGTTTACAGTTTGGGGCTATTATAAATAAAGTCATTATGAACATTAAAAAAAGAAGAAAGTTCTGGGATTTCCCTGGTGGCGCAGTGGTTGAGAATCCGCCCGCCGGTGCACGGGACACAGGATCGATCCCTGGTCTGGGGGGGATCCCGCATGCCACGGAGCAACTAGGCCTGTGCGCCTGCGCTCTGAAGCCCGTGAGCCACGACTGCTGGGCCCGCGCACCTGGAGCCCGTGCTCTGCAGCAGGGGAGACCACCACGGTGGGAGGCCTGCGCACCAGCGGCGAAGGGTGGCCCCCACTCGTCGCTGCTGGAGGGGGCCCACGCGCAGTAGCGGGGACCCAACGCAGCCAAAAAATAAAATAAAATAAATAAATAAATAAAGGAAAGTTCCTATTGCTTCATATCCTCACCAAAATTTGGTATTGTCAGTATTTTGGACTTTGGCCATTCTAATAGGTGTACAGTGGTAACAAATTCTTTTTAATATTTAAATCTGGTTGAAATTTTGCAATTTTACTAATTTTGTACAATTATACCACACATAATTTTTTATAAAATGTGTGTGTATATATATATATATATACACTTCTATTTTGAAAGTTTTCTGATATATGCAAAAGGAGAGAGAACAGAATAACAAATCAGTTGTGTTCACTTCTTGGTTTCAACAATTATCTATACTTGGCCAATCTTGTTTCATTTATATTCCCATCAACACTCCCATCCTCCCACCCTCCATCTCCCAAGCCAGATTACTCTGAAGTAAATGCCAAGCATTATATGATCTCACCTCTAAGTATTTTTGTATGTGTCTCTAAAAGATAAGGACATTAAAAAGAAAACAAAACAACAGCATTATCATACCTAAAAATAAAATTTCTTAATACCATCAAATATGCATTATAATTGTTTCAATTTGTTTGAATCTGAATTCAAATAAAATTCATACATTGTGATTCTTTGATATGTACTTTCTTTTATCTATAGGTTTCTTCTCCATTTCTAATATTTCCCTTGCATTTAAAAAAACTGTTATTGAAGGAATGGGTTGTTTGTCTTGTAGAATTTCCACAATCTAGATTTTTCTCGCTGCATTCCATTGGTGCCTTTTAACATATTCTTCTCTCCCTTGTATTCCCAGAAACTGGTAATTTGACCTAGAAGCTTGCTCTGATTCAAGTTCTAATGGAGGAGAGGGGACAAGACTATTTCATGCAGTGTTTCAACTTCCATCAGGAGGCACATACTGTCTGATTGACTCCTTAAGTGATATAGTTAGCCACTGATGGTATCTGCCTAGGTCCAACAACTCTTTAGAGACTTCAAAGTGATATTCTATTATTCATTCTTTTTTCTTAAATTGAAGTATAGTTGATTTATAATGTTGTATACATCAAAGTGATTCAGTCATACATACATACATATATATCCCTATGTATTCTTTTCAGATTCTTTTCCATTATAGGTTATTTCAAGTTATTGAATATATTTCCCTGTGCTCTACAGTAGGTCCCTGTCGTTTATCTATTTTATACTTACTAGTGTGTACATGTTAATCCCAAACTCCTAATTTATCCCTCCCCCTGCCCCTTTTCCCTTTGGTAACCATGAGTTTGTTTTCCATGTCTGTGAGTATGTTTCTGTTTTGTAAATAAGTTCAGTTGCATTTTTTTTTTTTAGATTCCACATGTAAGTGACATCATGTGATATTTGTCTTTCTCTGTCAGACTTAACTCCACTTAGTGTGATAATCTCTAGCTCCATCCATGTTGCTGCAAATGGCATTATTTCATTTTTTATGGCTGAGTAATATTTCATTTTATACACACACACACACACACACACCCCCACACACACCCCCACACCTGTCGATGGACACTTAGGTTGCTTCCATGTCTTGGCTATTATAAGTAGTGCTGCTATGAACAATGGGGTCCATGGATCTTTTCGAATTAGAGTTTTCCTCTTTCCTGGATATATGCCCAGGAGTGTTATTGCTGGATCATATGGTAACTTTATTTTTAGTTTTTTAAGGAACCTCCATATTGTTCTCCATAGTGGCTGCACCAATTTACATTCCCACCAACAGTGTAGGAGGGTTCCCTTTTCCCTACACCCTGTCCAGCATTTATTATTTGTAGACTTCTTGTTGATGGCCATTCTGACCAGTGTGAGGTGGTACCTAATTGTAGTTTTGACTTGCATTTCTCTAATAATGAACAATGGTGAACATCTTTTCATGTGCCTATTGGCCATCTATATGTCTTCTTTGGAGAAATGTCTATTTAGATCTTCTGCTCATTTTGTATTGGGTTGTTTGTTTTTTGATATTGAGCTACATGAGCTGTTTGTATATTTAGGAAATTAAGCCCTTGTCAGTTGCATTGTTTGCAAATCTTTTCTCCCATTGTATTTTCGTTTTGTTTATGGTTTCCTTTGTTGTGCAAAAGCTTATAAGTTTGATTAGGTCCCATTTGTTTATTTTTGCTTTTACTTCTATTACCTTAGGAGACTGATCTAAGAAGGTATTGCTACGATTTATGTCAGAGAATGTTTTGCCTATATTCTCTTCTAAGAGCTTTATAGTGTCACATCTTATATTTAAGTCTTTAAGCCATCTTGGGTTTATTTATTTTTTATAAATTTATTTATTTATTTTTGGCTGCATTGGGTCTTTGTTGCTGTGTGTGGGCTTTTTCTAATTGTGGTGAGCGGGACCTACTCTTCGTTGTGGTGCACGGGCTTCTCATCGCAGTGGCTTCTCTTGTTGCAAAGTACAGGCTCTAGGTGCATGGGATTCAGTAGTTGTGGCACGTGGGCTCAGTAGTTGTGGCTCGCAGGCTCTAGAGCACAGGTTCAGTAGTGGTGGCGCACGGGCTTAGTTGCTCTGTGGCATGTGGGATCTTCCTGG